TTACCACCTCTTCTTCGTCCTTTACCTTTATTTTCTGATGATGATCCTGTACTTTTTTCATCAGAATCACTTATCTCAACTGTATCAGAAACAGGTTTTGGCTTCCTTTTACCGTATTGTACAAGTAATCTGTGCTCTACATCTCCCAATTCCCAATCATGTGGCGTTAACAAAAGATTTTCTCTTTCTGCAAGATGAAGTTTATAAAAAATCTTGTGGTTGTCCTGTAGGTGATGCGCCCATTTGTGACATTGCTGTCATATCACGCATACCATCTGCTGCATTATCTTCACCCAAAAGTAATGTAAATATACTTCTTAATCCAAAAAGGTTAAGAAAGTACCATGACAAAGATGAAACCCAAGTAACATCCATATCAGGTGTTTCTACCCCACGTTGTAGCATAGATTTGAACCGGAGAGTAAGAGGAAAAGGTAATTTAACTAAAATAATTAGATAAATGAAATTTTAATAAAATTTAACAATAATTATTTTAAAGTTTTATTTCAAAATTTTTACTTACTTAAAACGAATCCTGAAAAAAAAAAGTTAATCCAACCCATAATAATAGTTTGAGGTATTATCATTAAAAAATTTTTTTTCATTCCTTCCATCATCATTTCCATTCCTGCTGGATCTGTCATTGGATTTACTGTTTGGTTCATCGCAGCTGGATTTTTTAAATAATCTCCTTTTTTATATGCATTTGACAAAAAATTTTTTCGACTAGTAAATGAAGCTAATGGAATATGATTCCCATAACTTCGTAATGTAGCACCACGAGCTAAAATTCGTGTTTCTCTAATAGCTTTTAGACCAGGTTTTTTTGTAGAAGCACCACCACCTAATAATACTGTAACCTGATCTCTAAATACACCAACTAGTACCATTACAATCATTATAGGGATTAATACCCAATCACGAATGGCTATAAAGGAAAATATTTAAAAGTTAACTTTGAAAACGTTCTTGATGTATGATCTAAATAATTTGTAAATTGAGGTATACCCGGATCCAAATATAAATTCTGGCTAATAAGTTAAAAAATATATATTAAAAAAAGGTTTTAATAGCAAATAAAAGTTTCAAAATATATACATAATCAAAAAAATTAACCCACCTTTCTGTTAATTGTGACATGACTATTAAAGTGAAAAATAGGTTGTTAACTCGAAATGTTCTTTATATTATTCGAAGAACACCAAAAAATTTTCGGTTAC